TTCAATATGAATTGAAGCTCAACATCAAGAAGACAAAGATTCTCACCACTGGGCCAACTGGCAGCACCATGATGGATGGAGAAGACATTGATATTGTTAACAGTTACACCTTGCTCAGCTCCACTATAAATAGCTTTTGACACCAGCAATCAGGAAATCAAAAGATGAATTGCATTAGGTAAATTTACAAGGAATCTTTTCAGAGTACTGAGAAGAAACAATGTCAGTCTAGAGACTAAGATGTGCCTAATCCAGGCCATGATCTTTGTAATTACTTGCTATGCATTAGAGAGCTGACAATGACTAAGGATGACAAAAGAATTATATCTTTTAGTTGTAGTGCTGGAGAAGCATCTTGAACATACCATGGGCATCCAAGAAAACAAATAGCTCTAGCTTGGAGAGGGTGAAACTGAGTTTCTCCTTGGAGGCCAGGATTTTAAATCTTTGTCTTTTATCTCACATACTTTGGGTGCATGACTAGGAAAGACTGGTCCTTGGAGAATGGCATCATGCTTCAAAGGAGGGACACTGCAGGAGAGGAAGACCCAGATGAGATAGATTGATACCATAACTGGAGTTGTTGAAATAGATGTGTCAGAGTAACTGTCAGTAAGACAGGCTCGGGACAGGGCAGGCTTAAGAGCTGTTGTACATATAGTAGGTATGAGTCACAGGTGACTCAATGGCATATAACAACAACAATTTCATATAATAGTTAGTATTACTTTTTATATACATTTATATCACTACTTTGAGTCATAATGCCTTATATCTTTAACCAATAGAAAGAATTCCTTCATCCTATGTTATTTGCCATAAATTTCACCTTGGTTAATAACATAATTATAAGGGGTGCTTCAATCTTTGTTATTCATTTTCCAATTTACACATGTATATGAGGAGACTGAAAATACCATGGCCTGAGTCAGGGACAGTCAGTCCTTCCTCAAAGTGGTCTCTTTGCTCTTTAACATTTAAAATAAAAAGTTCTTTGCAGCAGATTTGCCTAATGCAACACATTGTTTGATTTCTTGACTGCTGCTTCTATGGGCATTGATGAGGGATTTAAAAACAAAAAAAATCCTCTAAAAGATAGCCCTCGAACCTGTGAATGATACCATATACAAGTGGGGGAAAACTATGCACATGTGATTATATTAAAGATCTTGAGATGGGAAAGTTGTTTTAGATTATTTGGAGTGAAATGTATTTGTATGTGTCTTCATAAGAAGGAGGTGGAGGGAAATAAGAGACATAGAAAGAAGTGAGAAGGAAAAGTGACCACAGATCCAGAGATTAGCATGGGTCAGCCAAGTAATACCAGCAGCCACCAGATGCTGGAAGAGGTAAAGAAGACTTTCCGCCCCCCCCCCCAACCCTTTATTGAGAATGTTCTACCCAACACTTTGATTTTGCACTTCTAACATTCAAAATTATGAAAGAATTTATTCGTTGTGTTGATACCAAATTTATTGAAATGTACTATAGTAACTATAGTAACCCTAGGAAACAAACGTTGTTTTTGTTATGTACCACTGAGTCAGAACAACTCCCAGCTGATCCTCCTCCAGGCACAGAGGAGATGGCCCCTCTTTCTTTGCAGAGCAGAGGGTGGATTCATACCAGTGCCTTTTATTTTATTCCATCAGAGTTTAAGCTTTTTCAATTAAATATATCTCTGTCAGAGTAAAAAAAACCAAGCAAACCCAACACAAAACACCAAACCAAACAACACACAAGATACTAAAATGAAAACTGCTTTTACAAGATTTCTTCCTGTCACTTGATTCCCCATAATTTTTTTTTCATCAAAATATTCTGAAATTACCTTCATGGTCACTTTGCAAAAATGCATTTTTTTTTCTGACTTCACTGCTTACAATGACTGCTATTATTCTGTGCTCTTCCCTTTTCCTGAGTTCTTTATTTTTAAACAATTCCAAATCTGCTGAATTATTTCCTCAAGAAAAATGCTCAGTAATAGTATATAATGTTATATTTTCTTCTTTCTCATTTATCCAAGGAAATCGTGCTGTCTCTTGGCACAGAAGTGATATTTACAAAATTCAAGGATCATATTTTTTTTCCTTTCCTTTCAGAGCTCTGCACACATTCTTATGCTGTTTCCAAGCACATGTTATCATAGAGAAGTAGCCTAACAATTTATGATATATTTCTTGCTGATAACCTTTAAATTTTTTTCCACACTGTCTACATGTTTGAAAATATTTAAACCATGAAATTAAATACTATTACTGATCGTGCTTGACAGTACATCTCTTGTTATTAGTGCTGACTGCTCCTTGGGGCAACCACTCTTAGAAGTCCTCTGCCTGAGCTGAACTCTCAATGTGTGTCAGTCACATCAGAGCTCAGGTGTCAAAAGACTCACAACATTTCTACCACAATGTTCTACATTCCATGGTTGGTTGCTTCCGTTCTCAGTTTTTCATTTATCTATCCATTTGGTACTGATGCCACATCTTTGCTGTGTGTGGCCCACTTCATTTATTCTGAGCACCAATATTTCTCTAAGAAAGTAATTCTTCAACTTTCTCATCCTTTTTCTTTCTCTCAATTTGTCTTTTTTTTTAAAGCAAGATGAGAATTTCTTCTTATATCCTTCAGAGACATCTTCAATCTTTAATCAATCTTTAGAACCTCTCCCTAAGACATCTTCCACAATATTATTACTAGGGTGTATTGCGTGTATGTGTTAAGGAGATAAAAAATACTAAAGAACAATGTAGTTGGTTGGTATGTGAGAAATGATAGGACACAAAGGTGCAAAGTTATAACAAAAGTTATTGTCCAACCATATAATTTTGATTTCATTTCAGAAAGAAGTCAGCACCTCATGCTTAGTCTAGTTTTCCAGTTATTGTCATATATTTGTCATATATATTGTCATATATTTTCCTGACCCTAAGGTTAAGAGGTGAAGATAGCTGGATTTTTCTGTTTTCTTTTCTTTTCTTTTCTTTTAAGAAATGAGGCTTCAACTTGCCTGAAAATGTTTCACCTTGATCATCCTTTCACAGACATTTCATTTAATTATAATTTTAGTATCTTATTCACTTAACAGATACTGTTGTTCTTGTTGTTGTTAAGTGCCATCGAATCATAGGCGACTCAAAGTGACCCTGTGAATGAAAGTCCTCAACACTTGTGTGTCTTTCATCCTCTCTCCAGTTCATAGGGTTTCCAGAGGCAAGCTATTGCAGAAGTGGATGCTACTTCTGCTTCTAAGCTTGTTTTAATCAGGGAGCACCGCCCAACACTGTCCATCATGGATAACCATTATTGCATTTGACACATCAGTGTCACAGTGTTCAACTTCACAGTAACCACAATTTACCTCTGTATGGCAAGTGGGCACACCAGGGCTATACGACCTAGAAGAATGTTTGACCAAAAACAATGAAAAACAGGCCTGAGGACCGTGGCTTGGTAGCATCACTTTTGGTCGACTAGGCCAACTGGTCTCTCTCTATGTTGTTAAGTGCTGTTGAGTCGTAGGTGACTCATAACAACCCTATGAATCAAAGTCCTCGACACTTTCATGACTTTCATCCATTCTCCAGGTTCATAGGGTTTCTAGAAGCAAACTATTTACAGAAGTGGATGCCACTCCTGCTTCCAAGCTTTTTTTAATCAGGGAACTCCACCCAACACTGTCCACTATGGGTAACCATTATTGCATTAATGCGATAACAGATATTAGCCCCTTATAATCACAGTATCCTTAGCAAGGTATCCAAATAACATGAGGGAGCTCTGGTGGCTTAGTGGTAAAAAGATGCACTGTAATACTGAAGGCATGCACTTCAAATCCACCAGCTACTCTGTGGGAGAATACTGGGCAAGTCCCTTCCATGTGATTTACTGCTTTTTAAAACCGACTGAAGGGTCAGCTATAGGTGATTCCAACTCAATGGCACACAACAACATCATAGACAAGATAATTGAAGGAACAAGAGTAAGAAGAGCAGAGAGTATGAAGGAAAGAGAAGAGACTCAGGGACTGACCCTAGTGAGAGTTAGACAAGTGGACAAGTAAAAAGTTATGATGTACCACTGCCAAGGGTGAGAATGTGCAAGATCTAATGAATGAAAAATCCAACTCTTCTGTAAAGTTTCACTAAAATCACAATTTTAAAAAACCTTTAAAAATAAAAATAACACAAGAGTGCTCTAAAAACCCCCTATTCTTCTATAACCTCTGAGTAGCTTTTGTTGTTATTGTTGTTGAGTGTCATTGAGTCTTAGGCAACTCATAGCAACCCTAGGAACAAAAGACCTGAACACTTGTATAACTTTCATTGTTTCTTCAGGTTCATAGGGTTTTCGGAGGCAAGCTATTTTGGAAGTGGCTGCCACTCTTGCTTGTAAGCTTGCTTGAATTGGGGAGCTTCACCAAGCACTGTCCACCATGGGTAACCATTATCGCATTTGACACATGAGTGTCACAATGTTCAACATCACAGCAACCACGAGTTACCTTTGTACAGCAAGTGGACAGATCAGGGCTATGTGACCTAGAAGAATGTTACACCAAAAACAATTAAAAACAGGCCTGAGGGCCGCAGATTGAATAGCTTTTACTGAAGAAAATAAAAGGACAAATGGACCTTTGTTTTTAATTATTCTAGAATGAACATTGTGGTAGGGAAAATCAATGTAGATTTAAAAGTCAATTACAAACAGATGTGCCATACAAAGGACAACAAGTTGTGATCTTGAAATCTGGGGTGTGCAGGAGGTCAAGTGCAGGAAGGAACAGTAAAATCTGGAAAGACGCTTTACTGCTGCTCTGCATAGTCCAACATTAAGAGCAACAACCTGCTCACTGGCTTCAGATTCTGTTATTTCAGCCCCCAGCCCCCCTGGATTCAGTGAGATCATGTTCATAAACGGCACACAAGCTTCTTCCACTATGTGTGTTTATTCCACATTGTCCATTCCTCACCATGTGCTTCTCTCAATTCTGTTCCCAGGTTGTGCTGCTCTATGCGTCCACTTACGTGCTGGTGTCACTCAGTATAGACAGGTACCATGCCATCGTCTACCCCATGAAATTCCTACAAGGAGGTGAGCTGGCTCAGTGGTGATCTCCATTGCATGAGAATGGGATTATTTAAACTAATACATTATTCATTTTAAAGTCATTTACTTTTGTTTGTTGATGTTGTTGAGGATATAATTGTTGTTGTTGTGTGCCATTGAGTTGATTGCAATTCATAGTAAACCTATCAACAATAGCCCTGAACCCTGTCCTATCCTGAGCCAATCTCACTGTCTCAAACACACCTATCCCCCCTCCCTTTAACCCAGTTACTGTGTCAATCCATCTCATCCAGGATCTTCCTCTTCTGCACTGTCACTCCACTCTTCCAAGCATGATGTCCTTCT